CTACTGTGTGTAGCCAGCAGCCAGCAAGAGAGGCCATCCAGAAACCGGTGACTGATCTGCATTGCCTGGGAAAAGCGCAATGATGGTGCCAACTTGGGCCAGTGAAGCAACGTCCTCCACAACTAGACTGAAGAACAAAAGAACAGCAAATTGTCTGTTCCCCTTCCCCCAATTCCCCAGCGCTGTTCCCATTCCCCAATAAAAATCTTAAAAAAAAAAAATAGTATTGAATGTCAACTGTAATTGAAAAATAAAAAGGGGGGAAGATAAAAGGAGATAAAAGGTATAAAACAAATAAATCTTGGGGATGTAATATACAGTATAGGGAATATAGTCAATATTATGATAGTGTGGTATGGTGTCAGATGATTGATGGACTTATGGTGATCGCTTCTTTAGCATAGAGAATACAATCAATAATATGATAATAACTATGTATGCCTGGTGAGTACTGTTGAATTAACTATGATGTACACCTGAAACTAATATAATATTGTATGTTAGGTACATTTGAATAAAAATCTTTTAAAAAATATAAAGTTTAATGCTAATACATTTAGAAGAAATGATGGCAATAGAGAATCATCATTTGGCAACCATCAGGCAAAAATCGCCAATGAATGCTAAAACTAGGGAGTGAAAGTTTGAGGGGCAAAATAAGCGATCTGCTCTTAGCAAAAGTAGCAAATGTCATAAAAGACAAAATTTGAGGAATTGTTATAGACCAAAAGAAAAAATAAGTTATACTGTATGTTTTTCCTTATATCAAACTCTAGAAAATGCAAACTAATCTATAGTGACATAAAGATAGTGTTTGCCTGAGGAGAAAGGGCAAAAAGACATTTTCTTATAGCTGAAATACAAATTATGTAGAGATTAGATAATAATGGGTCAATATTAATTTCCTAATATGATAATATAAGAGAATATCCTTGCTTTTAGGAAATACACTGTCTACTATGTAGCAATAAAGGAATATCATGTCTGTGACTTACTCTGAATTGGCTCAGAAAAGTAATAGAGCTGAGACAGAGAAGAGGCGATAAAGAGATAAAGTAATGTGTTAAAATGCTAACATTTGGCTGAAAGGTATACCAAATTCTCTGTACTAGTTTTGCAACTTCTCTATAAATCTGAATTATGTCAAAATGAAAGGGTTTTTTGTTTGTTTGTTTTATTAAAGTATGTGGTGCTTGGGAGATTATGATCAACAGCCAACGTCATTCATCCATTAACAAATATTGTTTTTTCTCACATTGACAAATTTAACAACAGTGGCCACATTTCCTTGCCGCACCAAGCTTACACATATAAACCGCACACCAACATCTAAATTTATAAGCTTGATTATTTGAGTTACAAGTACATTTTCATTTAACAAATATTTATTGAGTACTTATCACTGTGCCAGCCTATATAGGCACTAGAAAAACAAATTTCCCTAGTATGAAACCTGGGGAACACACATACATAGTTGCAGCACAGTGAGGGGCGAGTGAATTGGAGCCTTGTCAGACAAGAAAAGGAGGAAGTACCACAAACATGGACACGGAGGCAGGAAGATGCATGGTGAGCTTGGGAAAATATAAATAGCCAGATGCTGAAACAAGACAGGTGAGGTCAGTTGGGCCAAGATCTTGAAGGTCTTGGGTTCCATGTTAATGAATCTAGGCTTCATCTATAATTGGAAGACACTGAAAGTTTTGCTCTATTTTCTTTTGTTTTGAATGAGACATATCACATATACAGAAGAGCACTGAATGTATTTAAGTAGGAGAAGAAAGAAAAGGAAGAAAGCTTGAACTGCACTAAGGAGAGTTTGTTCACCATCCTGACTTCCCTGCTAGGAGGTCCACTCACAACTCTATCCTCCCAGTGCACAGCCCAAAGTAGAAGCACAATCAATGCTTGCTGACAATAAAGAGAACACGAAATAGTCCCAAGAGATAAAAGCCTCAACTATAGCAGTGGCCAAGAAAATGGAGAGGTAGAGGTGCTCAGATCTTGTAGAATAAGAGAATCTAGAAGATTGAGAGGAAGGTATCAAAGATGACTGAATTTTCCATTTTGGTGACCACGTATTGGGTTGTTGGAAAAGTCATGACGCATTTTTGCAATGAAAAACAGAAGAAAATACGTCATGACTTTTCCAACAACCCAATAGATTACAGATAAACCGAGTATGTAATGCAAGAGGAGCAGCAAGTTTAGGAAAAAGGAGAACAAATTTGTTTATACCTATTAGAGACAGAGTATCTTTAGCAATGATATCACTTGGCAACATTACAAAACAGGAGCTTACAATGGAGGTCTCTCTGCTAAAGACATTGCTACTAAGTGTTTTAGATGTATCTTTATAAACCATTAAGTGACTGGTAACATTGTGATCAATTCATATTATGAAGTGACTTGAGTAAAAGATTATTCACTGCAGTAAGGTTTGAAAGAACATATTTTAGAAACACTTTAAATGCCCATCAGTACATGTTTGGTTAAACGTCTGATCTTTTTATTTCAATGGCTCGGTCAAATAGGAAATCAGCATTTTTGCACAGATAATTTAAGTCAAGAATGAAATAGAAAAGGCTGACTGAATTTAAGTTCACAATACTTTTAATCTATTCTACCATACCTGTATTCATGACAAAACAAAATAAATATTAACTTCAAGTGAGTGAGCTAAAAAATCATAGAACACCATAGTTGACAGGTGTTTAAAGGTCTGAAAAGCAAGTCTGAGTATTAACCAAGCTCCATAAAATCCCTTAAATAAAGTCTAAGTCAATCAATACTTTTAACTACCTTAGGTTCATAAATTGTAATATGAGAACTAATGTTTACATATAACTTTGAAGATTACAAACCATTTTCAACTTCCTTCTTTTTCAAATTTTATTATTTGTTTAGGAGATATAGGAATATTAGGAGACACAGGATTTCCTACATCAGGGAGGGGCAAAGGAGACAGGGGTCTTGCTGTGGATATGTTGCGCAGGCCCAAGTGCAGTGACTATTCACAGGAACAACCCTACTATTGATCAGCACCAGAGTTTTGACCTGCGTATTTCTGACCTGGGATGGTTCATCCTTCCTTTTGCAACCTGGGGGGTCCCTGACTCCTGGAAGGTTACCATGTTGATGGAGAACTTAGTGTGGGCTCCTGGGTTCATGCCATCCTCCTGCCTCAGCCTCCAGAGTAGCTGGGACTACGGGCGCACCACGGAGCCTCAATGTGTAATTCCCACTTAATTCCAACAACCCTGTGACATATGTAAAGTAGGTAGAAATCACCAGCCAAGGAAAGCTGTATTATGGTTATATGTCCAAGGCAAAGTTTCAAGATTAAGAATGCAGACAGTTTATTGTTTCAAAAGAAGTTTAATTCCTCTGGTTTCTCAGGATGAAAGGATAGGTAATGAATTTGTTCCACTCTTATTTTTTAAATTTGTAACTTCCAAAAAAAGACACACACCTAGCATAGTGGAAATGAAGCATAGTGGGAAATATTTGCAAAACCACATTTCATACAATGTCCCTATGTCTCCATCAAATCCTATAATGGAAAAACTATGTTCTAGTTTTCTGAGACAATTTCTAAAAATAAGATCATGTATCATTACACAAGACATATTGCAGTAGGCCCACGTTTTTATATATGACTTAAAGCAGCACTTTATATCCCAGTAAAAGCATGTAACACTGAAGCAAACCGACTGCACCAATCATTCCACCAAGTCTCACAGCAGGTGTCTCCCAGCCCCTTGGATATTGACTTACCTCCAAACGCACCATGGCGGATGGTTTTTTTTTCAGTTCCTCACATTTCCTCTTCTTACAGATCTGGTGGCTGTTCTTTCGGTTCTTGCAGTAAGTACATTCACCACAATTGGTCTTCTGCTGGCAGGGCTCACAGACTCCACATCGCTTTCGTTTCTTCTTTTCCAAAGTAGGCAGCAAAGTTTTGTAGGAAGAGGAGGTACTGGCAAGTGACACCGGCCTAGACAGTGCTGTGGTATTGATCTGAGAGCTCCCTTCTTCCGATCTGCTGGGACCAGCCTGGAAGTGCTGGGCAATGCCCTGTGAAACATGGCAGCGTTCTCTCTCAGGGGCTAACGTGACCCCCTGAGTGTTATCTGGCGGAAAGCTTATATGAAACTGCTTCTCATTTTTTATATTGCGTATAGCCATTACTGGAGGTACCGAACTTATCTCTGAGTTTGATGATGGTTGAGGAGTATGACCTGAGCCCAGAAGCAAAATCTGCATAGCGCCTTGGGCCTCAAGCCCATATGAAACAGTGCTCTGGGGATCAGGCCACTCTGGAAGAACATTATAGGTAGCAATTGGGTTTAGGGAAGCAGGAAGAAAGATAGGTGTGTCTGAGGCAGTACCACCAGCCACACCAAGGATCTGTTGATTTAGGATAGCACCCAAGACCTCTCCTTGGACTGAAGTAGCACCAGGAAACTCTGGTGGGTCTGGGGTCTCCCCCAGAGCCTCTCTGTTAACTGGATTAGCACCAGGAACTGTCCATTTATGTGGGACAGCACTAAAGAGCTGTCCAAGGACAGGGGTGGTGTCAGGAACTTCCTGTTGACCTGGAGTAGCTTTGAGTACCTCTGGATGATGTGGTTTAGCACCAAGGGTTTCCTGTTCTGAGCCTGCCAAGAGGAGTTTTACTAATGAGGTAGGATATATTGACCCACCAATAGACAAATAGTTTCTAAGGTCCAATTCAGGTATAACCTTATTAAAGCTGGAGGTGGGGCAGTGATCATGGTCACTTTTAACGGGCTCCAGGTAAGAATCAGATAGCTTAAGAGATTCTACTCGTGAACCCAAATCTTCTAACTGAATGCTGGGGTTTCCTTCAGAGGCAACCTTGAGGGCTGCTCTTTGGAGCAATGGAGCACACAGAGTGTCCTGAGCAAACATTCTAGGGGAATTACTGATATCATTTAATGTCTCTTTAGAGAATAGTCCTTCACCACCACGAGTCCCTTCCAATGACCCAGAAAGGATCTCTGCTGCAGGGCCACTGTGAATAGGAATATTTATTTTGGAATCCTCTATGCTTTGGGACCAAGACTGGGTTGTCCCTTGGCTGTCACTTTTAATTGAAGATGAATTTTGTTTGCCAATTAGATTCTCTATATCAGGAGGGATTAGGGGGTCTTGCATTGAGACAGAGTCATTTTCTGAGTGCTTTACTCCCATGTTAGTAAGTACCTTATAATTAGACTCATGTTGCTTTTCTAAATTCTTAGGTGGTGGGACTTTCTTAGGTTTGGCTATGACCACTGGGGGTTGGGAGAGTCGCCTGCTAAGAGAGGTGCTTCGGAGAGCCATTGTAAACCCATTGCAAGTTAAGGACTCTGGGTTCTGAAAAAGAACCTCAGTCCTCTCCAAATTCATTCGTGCTGCTCCAGCTCTTGTCAGAAGGCTTCTGACTGGCATAGGTGGTTTGGGTTCTGTTTTTTTCTTAACATCTCTTTCTTGAATTAATTGCTTTAATTTTCCAGGGCTCATTGTCTTGACTGATGCCACATTTTTGTTTGCTGGTTTGGATGCCTTCTTCAGGTGACTGTTTTTCTTTTTGTTTAGATCTTCCTTCCTGACTAATCTGGAAGGTCTTGCATGGCGGGATCGAGACATAGCTACGGAGTAGGAAAAAATGAAAGGGCATGGGGAACAGAGTCATTGGTCCTTTGGAAAGTCTCACTTTTGAGGAGAATGTGGATGCACCATGGTTCAGCTCACTTGCACAAGGTTTTGGTCTGAAATAACAACAACAAAAATTGGAAATGAGCCTTTTTCCTATGCACTCTCCCATTCAAAACAGAATATTTACCACCAATTATTAATTAAAATTAGAGAACTTAGAATTTTTACTGCAAAAGAAAAACATAATAGATACAGAAAACACTAACATACACCCTTTAAACCCTGGATTCACAATAAAGTTCCTTTAGTTACTGTGACAACTGATTAAATTGACGAAATTCTTTGAATAAGGTAAGCATGGGGTTTCTTTATAGAAGAAACCACAACTATTGTTACATGGAGTTTAAAGCTCAAAGCTCAATCTTCACAAACTTGGATACTTAAAAATTATTTCTTGGGCCAGCCGAGTGGCTCAGTTGGTTAAGAGTGAGAGCTCTGAGCAATAGGGTTACCAGTTCGATTCCCACATGGGCCAATTAGCTGCACCCAAGCTGAGCTGCCAACAGGTGGCAGGATGGCTCAGCTGGTGAGAGCACATGCTCCTAACAAGGTTCCCGGTTCCACTCCCGCATGGGATGGTGGGNCATGTATTCCTAACAATAAAGTTGCCAATTTGACTCCCTCATGAGATGGTGGGCTATGCCCATCTGCAACTAAGATTGGACACAACACCTTAAGCTGAGCCGCCCTGAGCTGCTGACAGGCAGTTGGATGGCGACTGGACTTGGAACTAAGATTGAAGGACAACTTGGCTGTTCTCCTTCCCCAATTTCCCAACACTGTTCCCCTCCCCCCAGTTCCCCAACACTGTTCCCCTCCCCCAGCTCCCCAATAAAATCTTTAAAGAAAAAAAATTTCTTAATCTCTTTCCTCAACACATCACCATACAGGCAGAGAGGTATCATCTGTTTGACAGCAAAGCAGGTAAAGCCAGAGGAAGAAGAAATAATAATCCAAGAAATTCTACTCCTTGGAGATCCAGTAATACTAACACCACATTCCAATTAACAATCCACAATTTTTAAGCTTTTCATACGCACAAAAAAATAGCATAAAATCTTGAGAGTTGGTATTAACAGAGTAGGTTATAAATAACACTTGCTGCTCCAACAAATATCTGTTGAGTACCTACTGTATATAATAAGGTAGGCATTGTGGTAGGCACTGCCCACACCCAGAAATGATGTGCCTCTTCACTCTTTTACCCAACTTAATCCAAAGACTGCTGGTTCTAAAATCCCTTCAACCAAGGGACCTAGAAGTCTCATGATAAATGCCCAGGCAAGGAAATTGAAAATAAAGGGAAATTGAGATAATTAGAACAGCAAAGGATATGAGGCAAGCAAGATAAGGAAAGAAAATGAAAAGGAGCTGACCAATAGCCATCATCAACTGCCTTTTCATCAGCTCAGATTGCCTCCCCTGACCCAAAGTAAGGCCAAGCTATGAACAAGAATGAAGCTCACCATACAAAGTATATCAATAGGCTCTCCAAAGATCACAGAATTAACAGTGTGACAACAGACTAGGTGATAATTCTGTAACAGTTGACAGGTTGTTGGATTTGTGAGAAAGCATGGTATAAGGGAATGGTACCAAAACTGGTCTGCAACCAAGTGATCAACAGTCTGTGGCAAAATGAGAAAAATGAGGCCATATAAAACTTTACATAAAGTTAAACTGATTCATTTTAAACAACTCTCCCTTACTCTGAAATTATGCCTTCCTGTTTTCTCTCATTAAAATGTCCTTTTCAGGGCCGGCTGAGTGGCTCAGCTGTTTAAGAGAGCAAGCTCTGAGCAACAGTGTCGCCAGTTTGATTCCCACAAGGGCCAGTGAGCTGAGCCTGAGCTCAACAAGGTTGTCTGTTTGACTCCTGCATGGGAAGGTGGACTACGCCCCCCCCTCCCACTCCACTCCCACAACTAGATTGAAAATGGTGACTGGAGTTTGAAAGACAACAGCTTGACCTGGAGCTGATGGGTCTGAAAAAACACAATGTTTCCCTTCCCCAATTCCCCAGTACTGTTCCCCTCTCCAATTCCCCACACCCTGCCAAAAAAAATCTTTAAAAAAAAAAGCCCCATATATAGTAATGGGACGTGGAGTACAGTGTGGGAGTGGAGTCAAGGGATTTGTAATAGATACGTATGATATTGGGGGGAAATGGGGCAGCGGATTGGGGGAGGGAGGTTGTCACTTCGAGGGGTAAAAAGTATAACTATTGCACTGTGTTGTACAGCTGAAACTAATTCTAAAAAATGTGTATTTCGTAATAAAAAATAATTTAATTAAAAAAAAAGAAAATGCCCTTTCTAAAAAAATTTAATAAAAATCCTTTCTTTTGTGAAAAGGTGGGGGATAGGCTTTTTTGTTGTTGTTGCTATTACTTGGCAAAGTAAAAACCTGACAGCCCTGTATCATTCTCAAAATTTGCTCCTGTTTCTTCTGTACTGATCTAATCCAGGTAATCCTGGGATACGCTGGTTGGTTTAGTGGCTAGAGAAGGTGTCTCATCAGAAAGTACTGATTATGAACCTGTAATAGCTAGGTCCTTCAGCAAACTACATAACTGAGTCAAGATTTCTGCATCTGAAATGAAGTTGTTTAGAGGTATCAATGGGCTCCTACAGGGAAAGCCTAGTGACACAGGTTTCGTCCTTGCAATAAGAAGTTAGGGGAAGAGGAGGGAGCAGGGGAAGGCAGGGAAGGGTTAGAAGAAACACTTTGGAATATGCAGACTGGGTTCAGAGTCCAGCTCAGAAATATTACTAGCTATTTGATTCTGACAAATTCCTTGGTCTCTCTATACCTCAGTTTGCTCCTGTGTAGTAGAATAGGAAGTATAATAATACCAGCCTCATTGGGTTACCATGAGAATAAAATGATATGTATTAAGGTTTGGCATATATTAGGTGTTTAATAAGTGGGAGTTTCTTTTTTAAAAGGCTGTTTAGGCCCGGACGAGTGGCACGTTGGTTAAGAGCTGGCTTGGGACACCAGCTCTGAACAGCAGCGCCTGGTTCGGATCCCACATGAGGGCCAGTGATGCTGCGCCCTCTACAGCTAAGATGGTGAACAACAGCTCGACCTGAAGCTGGGCTGCCCTGAGTCACCGGTGACCGCGTAGGCTGCAGCAAAGCTACAGCAGGCTGCCATAAAGCTACTGGGAGCGGCCAGCAGTCAGCGTGAGCTGCCAAGAGCCACCGTGAGCGGCCGGCCAATGGCCGGCTACCGATCTGCCTCACCCAGGAAGAGCGCAATGATAATACCAACATGGGCCAGTGAAGTGATGTCCTCCACAACTAGACTGAAGAACAAAAGGACAGCAACTTGTCTGTTCCCCTTCCCCGATTCCCCAATAAAATCTTTTTAAAAATAAATAAATACAAATTTAAAAAGCTGTTTATAACTCCAAAAGACAAAAAGTCATAATAAGAGGGCCGGCCAAGTGGCGTGTTGGTTAAGAGCTGGCTTGGGACACCAGAGGGCCCCTGTTCGGATTCCACATATGAGGGCCAGTGACAGTGCCCTCTACAGCTAAGATGCTGAACAACAGCTCAACCTGGAGCTGGGCTGCTGTGAGTGGCCGGCAACGGTGTAGTCTGCTGCGCCTGCTGCAGTGGGTTGCTATGGGCTACCGTATGTAGCCAGCAGCCAGTGTGAGCGGCTGTCCAGAAGCCGGCGACTGATCTGCCTCGCCCGGGAAGAGCGCAATGATGGTGCCAACTTGGGCCAGTGAAGCAATGTCCTCCACAACTAGACTGAAGAACAAAAGGACAGCAACTTGCCTGCCCCCCCAATTCTCCAGCACTGTTCCCATCCCCCAATTCCCCAATTTAAAAAAACAAATAAATAAATAAAAATAGCTTATTTTAAAAAAAAGTCATAATAAGAGAAAATAGGCTAAGTTATAATAGTTATCATTATTATAGAACCAGTTTAACCCAGTCTGCCATAGCTTGCAAAGCAAGATCTAGTTCTTTTGATTCTGTTCCTGCCTAACACATTGAAGGCCCTACACTATAATAAAAGATATCCCAGAGCACAACATTCAGTCAAAGTCTTTTGCCTTTAAAAAATACTTTTAAAATAGACATTAGTGATAACATTAACCACAAGAAAATAACATTTTGATAAATCTATGCTAAATACAAACACCAGGCCAGAGAATACTTCACTTGAGTTCTTGGCAGCTAAGCTTTCCCCTTTTTCTTCCAAAAGGAAAAAAAAAAATAGTTATGGTTTGCAATAATTATTTGGCTGTGAGAAAACTATTTTCTCCAAAGACCATTGCATTTTGTACCAGCATTTTTAGAAAACAAAAGACATTCCAATCAGCAATCTTTATACGGGTGTTTTTTTCAGATAATGAAAAGCAATCTACTCCACTCTCCAGAAATTCAACAATATCGGTATAGCATGCTTTATCCCTTGTATCAAGATTACATTGCTAAAAAATTATTAGAAGCATATAATCTAGGTATTACAATCAGCCTTGAAAATTAAAATTCATATATGTAGGCAAGTAATCAGGATATACCAGAAGGTGTCATGGGATCTGCTTTTGAAAGTAGTTTATAAATCGATCTCTGTCTCTTATATATTCTTTTATATTTTTAAATTGAAATGCTTTAGAAATTCAGACTTGTAATTAAGATAATGTTTACCATTCAAGCCTTATCTCCTGAAAAAGAGCCTGCCAAGGAAATGGAAAAGGTATGAGCAACATGGATTGGGAAGATGTGGCCTCTTTAAATGGTAACAGCCTTTTTATGAGATCGTGAAAGAGGCCAATAACCCCTGAAAAACCCAACTGCAGGGGAGAAACCACTGGGTACCATCCAGCCAAAGAAACAGACAATCAGAAACAAAATAAAGGCTGCCACAAAATTCTAATTTTATCACCCTTGGCTCCACTGATGAAATGTAACCTTCTTTAGAGATAAACCAAGTTATCTCCAGAGCTGAACTGTGGGAGAAGAGGCAGCAAGCTTCTTTTGAAATTTGTAAAAAATAATAATAATAATAAAATAATGTAATGTAGTCCATTCTATGAAATAGGTCCATATTTAAATATGGAATTATCCCCCACAGATCTCTTTAAATTTATTTTCCTCAATAATTTATAAGCATTACTAAATGCTCCATTTTTTTGTTGGTGCTTTTATTATTTATTATAGAGTATGTCATACAAAAAGCTACATTTACAACTGAATACTAATTTCACTTCCATTTTTCATTTCTGATGAAAACTGACATGTCAATTATTCCTCAAATTCAGTTTTGTTCTACCCTAGAATATAATCAAGAGTCTGAGTGCTACAGAGATGGCCACAAGATAACATGACTGAAGCAGAAAATAAGAGAATGATGTCTCTGTTGTTAAAAATAAATAATAGGCCCATGAGGGGGAACATATGCAATTAATTGACATGACCTCTCATTTCTTGTTTTTCTGAAAAGCAAAATGAAACTGAAATACCCCAACAATTGTGGGATGCAAAACATTAAACTTATTTAACAAATCTTTTCACCAGAAGGCACCAAGATCTCTAATCCACAATTGAATTTTTTTCCTAAAATGTCCTTGTGAGACAGGGCGCTGGAGTTATTATAACATCCAAACATTAGGGGTCAAGAGATAAGCGGTCAATTCATAATACATGAATAGATACAATACTTACCCAAATTAGAGAATATAAGGTTAACAGCTGGAGAAGTGGCAAGAACAGTCCCCAGGGTTAATATGATAAACAGGGCCTGTATAAAGATATGCTAATAATTCACACATAATTTAAATCTACCTAACCAAACCGGTCAACATTATTTTTGCCTCAACATTATTTGAGTTTACTAAATAATCAGGCTTTTCCTAAGGAGAGCTTTTTATTATTTTTTTATTATCATTATTATTTTTTTTAACAATTATTGAAGTAATCACCTTGCCTACAAAATGAAAGCTGACTTCCTAAACTGTATCAGTTGTCTGGAAAGGACAATATTGACAGCACCAGGTCAAAAAGTTCTCCCCCACCTATATCCCTCCTCTTTCAGTATCTCTGAAGTCTCCTGGGCAGGAAATGGCTGAACTGATGTAATCATCCAGCCCGCCTGTCAATTTAAAATTATATTGCAATCCTTCCCACTACCAGCAGTGGCCAAAAAAGTGGTGAGTTTTTGCATACAGAGAGCTAGTTGCAAAAGTAATGCTGATTTCAGCCACTCCATTCAGCTCTTCGGAATTTAAAGGCTACTACACTTCACTTGACTGAGAAATATAAGACTTAATACACTTTTTTTTTTTTTAAAGGCACCACCTGGCTGAGTTTCCTCCAGCAACTAAATTCTACATCTCAAGGAAGAGGAGGTAGGCGGGTTGCTTGCAGTTCCTAGATAGTTGGCTACCACAGGAAGTGTGAGAGCCCTCCGCACACGGAAAGGCTGTTCAGGAAAACTCACTAAAATGCCAGCAGATTTAGTCAAAGGCTCCTTCCATATGTAAAACAACCCGCTGCCCTGCAGAGCAAGGGAAAAAAAGCCAAAAAGAGCCACAGAAAAGGGAAAAGTTTAAAATGGGGATAGAATGACCCTTTTAAAAACAAGAAAAGCATAAAACGCATGGGGAAGAGAAAAATGGGTAAGGAGGAAGAAAATGTCTTAAAAAAAAAAAAGCCTAAAAGACAGAGGAAGAGGAAGAAATGTATAATGAAGCTAGAATATTAAAAAGACAACTGAGATCAAAACACTAAAGACTAAAGGTAGGAAAACGGAGGGCGGAAAAGATAAATTTAAGTGTGCAGGAGGAAAAAAGATAAAGACGCAAAGAGGACAGTGGGGGAGGGGAGAGACAAACCAGATAAAGAAGATGGGAGGAGGAAGAGAACAGGAACAAAGGGCAGGGACCGTGGTGATCCAAACCTGCGACACTTCAATCCTGGTAGACCAGAGCTGAGAGCAATAGTTAACTCATTAAATTGGTAAGTGGTAGTCCCAGAGTTGTAAGTCTCGCCTAGTCATCTTTGCAAAGAAAAAGGGACACTGTAGGCTAACTCCCATGTATCTTGATTATGAAGTTTAATTGAAATCATAAAAATGACTTTAAACGCAGTCGGAGATGGACAACCAACCTTTAAGATCCCATAATTGGGGAGTGAAGAGACTTGGTTATTAACCTGTGTAGCCAGTACCGATAAAATCAGGAAACACACCCAAATATTACCTTTAGTCTTTAGTTCTTGGAAATAATACGGACTAATCTCCAAACATCTCCTTATGTACTCACTTATCTGTGAGGACGGCTCCCCCCTGCTTGTTTAACTCGTCATAAATTCCTAATATGCCCCCAAATAACTCTTGCCCCAACTGGTTAACAAGCGCCCGTTCCATATACTTTATGATATCTTGAGGCCTAAGGAAGCCAACATTTTTATTTTACTTTATATTGTTGGGGGGGGAGGGGTAAAGGATGAGCACATTTTGGTTCAGGGCTGACCTGAGGTTGCTGCCTTTGAGCGCCGCCCCTCAACCCATCCCGGTGCGGCGCGCGGAGCACCCCGCTGGCACAAGGCTGTGCACCTACCTAATCTTTTCTTCGCTCAAGGTCTTGAAGCCCTTTTCAAACATTTCTTTATAAACTGATTGTTACTGTGGTGGATTATGCAGCTAATTTTGTGCCTGAGAGTGGAACCGGAGAGGAAGGGTAGAGGCACACGAGTGACCTACGCGAGATGGCTAATTTGGGAGGAGGACGAGTTGGGGGCGGGAAAAAGACTCCTAGTTCAAGCAGTATCTGTTCTCTTGATGATACGTTTTCATTGGGTCAGAAATGCCCAATTTGGGTTCCTCATTCACGTGGAAAGGTGACTGGGGCCCGACGCAAATTCACCACTTTTTGTAGAAATATATGGACCCAACACAGCCCTTCCAGAGCTAAATCAGTTGAGAGGGTGGGTAAGAGACGGAGGGGAGGGAAGCAAGAAAGAAGGAAAGAAAAGGAGAGGGGAGAGGAGAAAGGCGGAGAAGGATCTAGCCTTGTCGCTTATCCTACCCCACACGATAAGTGGTGGCGGCGCGCGGGCCACCGCCGCCGTCGGGAACCGGCCCCTCACGCGCCGCACCGCTGGTCCCGGCACCCAGCTCTGCACACCTCCCACCCTCGGGCCCGCTCGGGAAAACGCCTGGGAGGGTCGGAAGAGACCGCAACGCCCGCGCGTTCGGCGACCGGGTGGTAGTAGTGAGTTTTTTAAAAGCCATTTTGACAGAATACTAATTCTATCCCCTATTCCCTTCTTCCGCGATCCACAGAACACCAGGTCAACCTCCGGCAGGACACCCCTACTACCTGCACTCCAAAAGTTTCGTGCCTGAAGTCCCTTCCCCAAAACGCTGAAGAAGGCAAGCTCCAGAATGCTTTCCCAACGAGCCTATCCCCTATATCAGCATGGGGGAGGGAGAAAACTTATTTGGGGGTACGCTTAAGGACCCGACAGCCGGGACTCACCACGCGCGACTTGCCCTAACTCTTCCCTCGCCTCACCCCGACCTCCGACTCTCCTAAGAGGCGCCTCAACCTCCTGCACGTTCGGGGATCCCACCAGGCCACATTTGCCCTCCGCTCTCCCAGCCCTGTTTCCAGGGGAGCCCGGGGTCCGAGCCTGAGGCGCGGACCTCAGGGCAGACGGCCCACACCCTGCCCCGCACCCGGGCCTCGGGGCAGGCGACCGCGTCCTCTGGCCGGGGGCATTGTTTCCCACCCGCAACAAAAGCGCCCCAAGCAGCCCGGGGTTGAGGGTCGCGACGGGGAGCGGGCCCACCCCTGCGGCCCGGTAGGACCCGCGGACGCGGAGCCCCAGCCCACATCCAGCCGGAGCAGAGCACCGCCCCTCGCACCCCCTTCCGGCCTCCGAGGGTCCCCAACGCCCCTGCCTTCTGCCTCGGCCCCAACTCACCACTGGCCCGCTCAAGCTCAGAGGGCAGCGCGTGTTCCCCCAGCTCCAAGCTTGCACCAGCCCTCGGGCAAACTTTCCAACTCGCGCTGGTCCCCACAACTTCGTAGCCCGGTGTCCCGGCGGGTGCGAGAGTAGCAGGCGGGCCCTGGGCGGACACCTAAGCACTCCCCGGCGCGGTCAGGGCCCGAGCCCCCGGGGTGAGCGGCTGCTTTCCAAAGGTCCACAGTGGAGGAGCAGGTAGAGTTGCATGACTGGGGCGGGGCAGGGTGGCGTCCCGGGGGGCAGACCCGGGAGCGGAGGGACCAGCGGCTGCGCGCACAAAGCGGCGCGGGAGCGGACTGCGCTGCCACTCTGCCAGGTCAGCCCCCCGGAGCAGCAGTGTCTCCCCAGGACAGACCTCAGGGAGTGAAGCCTTTGCTAAACCCTGCACCGCTGAGCGAGAGGCAAAACGCGAGCTGGATTTCCAGAAAGTGGAGCTGGACTCCCCTCTCGACCCTTCCTCCTCCCCTTTGCCCTCCTCCTCTCTTCCAACTTTTTTTTTTTTTTGAGGTCAAAGGAAAACACTGGAGAGAGAGAAAGAGAGGTGTCAAGATTTACTTGTCATTTTTTTTCCCGAAGGGCCCTCAGAGGGAAAAGTTTTAGGGTCTCTAAATTGAAGGTTTATAGATACATAAGGGGATGCCAGGTCAGAGATGACAACGTTAAGCAATGGAAAACTGCCCTCAACACCAAAGACAGACGCCAGAAGAGGGTTGTGTTCCCTTGACTCAGCGCTTAATGTCTGCAAAGGTCATCATAACATTTTTGTTAGTTATTTGGTCCTGGACCTTGGCGGTGGTCTTACTTTACAGATGAAGAAATTAAGACACAGGAAGAAGTAAGTTTTCAGCATTAAGAGGAATAGCCAGTGTATTACACCAAAATTAAGACTGGGGCATCTGAATTTCTCTTAAGATTTTTGATGGCTGTTGTTTCTTCCAGCAGTCAGTCATTACAGACAGGGGAATCCAGATCTTTAATGGTGTCAGAATGGTTAGGAAAATTCTTTTCATGGAACTATCATTCTTTTCATGTCAAACTTGAACTGAAGAGAAAGTCATTCTATCGTTGCCTTCCATACCATTCTACTCCCATTCCACACATAATTATTCTTTGTTCTACTTGCTTTAATAAGCATAACCAGATCGTTCTTTTGAGAAACATCCTAAATTTTCAAACTTTCTCACTGATTGACGAATTCAAATTTATTTTTGAGCTAGGAACCAGGCACACAGCGTTGAATAAAATGTACCTTCTACCCAGGAGGAATACACATCCATCCGAGGTTTGCAAGCAGAGATTAATGACCGCACTACTGTGTTTTCAGTGCTACAGTGAGATAAATACCTTGGTTGGAAAAAGTCACAACTGTTGCATTTGAAATAAATCTTATCTGCAAAAATGGACTCTTCTCAGTCACTGTTTCCAAAAGCTTAACTGTGAATATCTTGTCAGAAGCAATCTCCTTGGACCTAGGTGAAAAGAATATTGGGAGAGTTTGAGTCAAAACTTGATCTTCATAAAAAACAAAAGGAAAAATATTATCATGAAATAGCAATATCCTGGCTTTTGTCAATTAATTGAAATGATTAAAAAGTATTGAAATGGGAAAATCAAAAGATGCAGAAAACTGTCCTAGGTAACACTCATTCTCTTCATTCTGTAAATGTTAGTTGAGTCTCTGCTTTGTGCTAGGCACTGTTCTAAACCCTGGAGTAACAGCAGTGAGCAAAATGAAACCTCTGTGCTAGTGGAGCTTGCATTTGATCATGGAGTAGGAGTGAGGGGGCAGAATATAGACAAGGCAAATAAGTAGAACATATATACTGTGTCAGATGGTGGTGGTCAGAGGGCAGGCGGGAGAAAAAGCAGGAAAGGGCACAAGGAGTGCTGGGGAAGGTTGCAATTTTAAATATAGCAATCAGCCCATTAAGTTGCTCTGAAAGAGATAAGGGAGGAAGCCAGGGAGATTTTGAGCACAGGAAAGAGCCAAGGGGAAAGGCCCTGAAGGTGGGGTTGTGCTGTGGCAACATAAATATTTCACTGTTTCACAGCAGTAAAAAAAATTGGAAACTGCCTAACTGCCCATAAATAAAATAAATTAAAAAAAGAGAATAGACTGCTCCCACAGGTCAATTCTAGGACAATTTGAGTTTGGAAAAGAGGTTTAGCTTGGAAAAGCAGATTTGGGAGTTATCAGCCTGTAGATATTTAAAGCCACCTTGGTATCTGAATCTTAAACATAGCGCCTGGCAACATCAGATTCATCTGATCCTGTCAGAAAAGGGGTCTGATACTTATAATAGATAGAAAAAGGTTGAACAAGTCACAGGAAACTAAACAATAACTTGAATTATCTATCCAAGGAGAAAAAAAAGAAAGTGTAATTCTTTCCAGACTTTAATATCAAAAAATAAATGTTTAAGCAATTTCCCACTATCCTTACAACTACCTTATCCCACCCTTCCTTAATAAGAAAGCAAGAATTCCTGTCTTATTTCCAATCACCTTTCTAGAAAAGAGATATGAAAATATACATAATATGGGTATTGGAACTATACTTATCTAACTTCCTAAGGACATAACTCTAATTGCATCTTAGCTGCCCTGCTTATTAATTACCTTAATAAGCAGGGCAGTGAATGCACTAGGAAAAATATACATATACTCCCCTTAAACACACACACACACACACACACACACACACACAGTTTCTTTGCTAAAGAACATAATCTCCATTGGCAAACATTTAAAATTTTGGCAATACTAAGTTTTGGTGATAAATTCATATATTCTGGCAATATAAGTGATGCAACAACTAAGGAAGACAGACTCATCTAAGAAAGGAGACTCAAACTCATTAGTCTCTATAAGGAGATAAGGGATGGATAAATGGATAGATAGGGGTGGGTGGGGGAACCAAGGGCGGGAGGGAGGGAGAGAGAGAGATATTAGTAGATAGGAAAGAATTCATTGTCTCTTGGTGATTTGGGACAGCAAAATTTGCATGGTCCAGGGAGATATTAGGGGAGGCTGGGAAAAATAAATCTGAAGTAATAGTTATTAGCAAAGGAAAAGATCTAATGCTGTCAATTCTGCTAGGAGTTCAGGACAGCAAGAAAAACTTAGAATAAAAAAGACCCGAGGGGATTACCAGAGAATCTGCACTAAGCAGAAATCAGCATTTACTGGTCAATTTACTGACTGACATAGACGTAAAACTTTTTTCTCACTCAAGATTCTAAACTGAATCTGAAGACTGAATACACAAAGTACATAAGACACATGGTAGGTACAAACCAAAAAACACCTCAGTGGAGGTGGAAGAGAGAGGATGTAAATATTGTTTTGAGGGAGAAAAAAATTGGGACTTCCAGAATTGGTTTTGGAAGGAAGTGGAAAAATTAACATGCCTTCACCGTGACTGTAGAGCATGAAGACATATTCTAGTTATGATGAGGAAACAAGATCTTTTATGCTATAGTGAGCTTCCCAAAGGAGCAGATCCCAAATCAAGAACTACCTGAGTGTGTGGTCAAAATGAGTCTGTTTAAATGCAAACTCCCTCCCTACCTCCTAAGACAAAATTAAGCCATTTTCTCCATTTATGCCTTGTCTAGCAACTTCAATGGTAACTTTTCCAACCTACTAATTTAATCATCCTCTAAACCTCTCCCAAAATCAACTTGGAAGCACCCCCACTTGACCTCTACATCTGCATTCTCCATTTTCTCAATTGCTTGCTAGCAGCACAGCTCTTTTGGAGCCTTAGCTAGCTTCAAAATCTTAAGACCTAAATTTGCCTAAGGTCTTGGTTTTTGTTGTTTTTTTTGGTTTTTGTTTTATTTTTGCCTCAGGTCTTTATTGTTTCTGGGCAACTCCCTACTTTAGGAATTTTTAGCCTTTACCTGCCTGGGGACTTGTTCTAAGTGTTCATTTTGCTTACCTCCAAAGTTGCCCATAACCCAGGCTATCAGGAGAGATCCTCAAGCAATGGATTTCTTATTTACCTTTCCCTCCCTTCCTCAGCAGTACTATCTCTTCTTTACCTGAAGTTTCTTCCCTGTTACGTGGCTGCCCATTAACTTGTGCTCTTGAGCCACTAGTCTCCTTGCTATGCAGTTTTTACTTCATTAATGAGCCTTTCTTTCTAGCATCTTCAGTCTCTTCTTCATTAGCTCCTTCTTCTCTGCTGTCAAGAGGTCTTTCATGTTTATCATGCCCAAGTCACCCCTTTGCTTGACCTTGCTCTCCCATCTAAATTTAGCCCTATTTCTTTCCATGACAAATTCTATGTCTTGCTATTTCTTGTTCCTATGTTTATTTATTCCTGAGCCCACTGACCCACTCTCCTGAGATTACATTCTCAACATAGTTTCACTCTCCCTTTTCCCCTCTTCATCTTGAAATGTCTCCTCCCTGGAATTCTGTGACACCTACAAGCATCCTCATTCTCCCCCTATGCATCCAATCAAAATGCCTTCGCCACCTTCTCTCTCTGGCTGCTTTCTTCTTCAGAGCCCTCTTGGCACTCACTGCAAGCATTTTAGGCCTCCTGGTCCAGCAGAAGACTTCCAAGGCTGAATTCTCCACCCTGAATATCTTCTCTGTAACTCCAGCTCTTTATCTCTAACTCTGAAGCCATGTGCTCTGTTCCTGATCTGTTTTCCTTTCATTTTCACCTGAGACATGCTGGGACCTGCTCCACTTGGATGCTTCTTTTTAGGTCACATGTGGTAACCTCCACACACAGTAGGCACTTTAAAAACAACTGACTGAATTATTTCTGGACATTTTCTTCCTCCCCACTGAGAATTCATTTAAAGCTATTTAAATTACCTGGTGAGTCTCTCCTAACATCTTTTCTCCTGCTTTATGAATAGAGAGGATGGAAAGTTTGAGACAGATACAGGTCTGCCTGAAATGTCCTTCTCCCTCTTGTTCTGTCCTCTCTTTGTATCACTCTCATTCTTGTCCACCTGTCAAACTTATCCACACCCCTCAATACCCAGCTCACAGGGCTCTTCTCTGTGGAGCCTCACATAATTATCCAGGCAGAATTAGGAGCTTTATGGCTCTCTCGACACTGCTTCTGCAGCCTTCCTATATCTCTGTCATAGCATTTCTCACACACTCGACTCAAGTTACCAAATTGTATGCCCCGCAAAGGGCTAATTTTTCATATTTATATTCCCAGTGCTTAGCTCATAGCAGACACCCAGTAACTCAAGACATTTTTGTTTAATGCCTCTCTGAGGTCCGACCTAAACCTTATAACTGCAATTATGCAATTCTATATGTTTGCACAAATGAGGCTAATTTCTTGGTAAATGTCACAGTATCACAATATTTTAAACATGACAGCAAATGTAAAGCACCTACAATAGGCCCACACAGGAGCTCTGTGGGTCTCTTTCTGATCCCCTCCCCTTATATTTAAAAAGAATTTCAAGGGCCAGCCGAGTAGCTCGTTGGTTAAGCGTTGGCTTGGGAGCACAAGCTTTGAGCAGCAGGGCCGCCTGTTCGAATCCCACATGGGCCAGTGATGCCGCATCCTCTACAGCTCAGCTAAGATGGTGAACAATAGCTCAACCTGAAGCTGGGCTGCTGTGAGTTGCCAGCAACAGCGTAGGCTGCCATGGAACTGCAATGGGCAGCCATAAGCTACCTTAAGTGGTCAGCAGCCAGTGTGAGCGGCCGGCAGCCGGTTGCCAGACAGAGCTGCCCTGCGTGGCCGTCCAAAGACCAGTGACTGATCAGCCTCAGCTGGGAAGAACGCAATGATCACAAATACCAACATGGGCCAGTGAAGCGACGTTCTCCACAACTACACTGAAGAACAAAAGAACAGCAATTTGTCTATTCCCCTTCCCTGATTCCCCAACGCTGTTTCCTCTCTCAATTCCCCAATAAAATCTTAAAAAAAAAAAAAAAGAATTTCAAAAATATTTGTTTTGCCTTAAAGATTTCTAAGGCCGTTACCATCTCTAGAATTCTATTATTTAAAATCCACTGACAAAAATATAATAAAAATAAAATCCACTGAGAATTCAGTTCCTCTAGGAAATTATTTTTTAAAATCCCACCAAACATAGATAACCTCTCCTCAGCACTCATGAAAAATAGTGTTAAACTTTATTAATTTGTACACACTGATATTTAATTTTGACACTGTTCATTAGTATTACATATGCCAACATTTTGTTTCCCCAACTATCTGAAAGTTTCAGGGAAAGACTCACATCTTCTACTTCTTTTCTATCTTCTTTCTATAGGACCTCATTCTACAATACCCTCAATAAATATTGCTGACAGACCTAATATTGACAGAAAGAAGCACTTGGATAATATCTCCAAAGTGCTATGTTCGGGGGGGGGGGGGGGAATCACTAAGTAAATCCATTAGTGTTATTATTGCTCAAGTGTGTGAATAATAATTGCTACTTTTGACTGAGTACCATCTTTACATATTATACTCTACTCACTACATAAACATGACTTAAGTTGGAACGTAAATGCAACTTTCCAAGTTTATCTCTCTAGCCTAAGTCCATTTTTGAGCTCCAGATCATTTCAACTTATATCCTTCATAAATCTTTGAAACTCAACATATCCAATACTACATTATTCTTAAAGCTCTCTTTTTCATTGGCTTCTATAACTTTTTTTTTTTTTAAGATTTTTATTGGGGAATTGGGGGATGGAAAACAACGCTGGGGAATTGGGGGAAGGGGAACAGACAAGTTGCTGTTGTTTTGTTCTTCAGTCTAGTTGTGGAGGGCGCTGTTTCACTGGCCCAAGTTGGCACCATCATTGCCTGGGCGAGGCAGATCAGTCGCCGGCCTCTGGACGGCCGCTCACTGCGGCTGCTGGCCACTCACGCTGGCTGCCGGCCACACACAGCAGCCCATGGCAACCCACTGCCACAGGGGCTGCAGCCCACGCCGTTGCCGGCAACTCACGGCAACCCAGCTCCAGGTTGAGTTGTTGCTCAGCACCCCAGCTGTAGAGAGCAGTGTCACTGGCCCTCATATGTGGGATCCGAACCGGGGCCCTCCGGCATCCCAAGCCAGCTCTTAACCATCGCGCCACTCGGCCGGCCCGGCTTCTATAATTTTTGCTTTCCCCACTACATCTCTAGCTATTCCTTCTTTGTCTCCTTTACCAGCTCGTCATTCTCTAGCTATTTAGTGTCGCAGTTTCTCAAGGCTGAGTTCTAGGTTCTTTCTCTCTCCTTAGCATTGACTTACTAATGTTACATCTTCCACCCAGTTTGCTCCTTATATATTTAGCACTTTAATATCTCCTCTTGGATATCACCAAGGCCTCTGCATACTCAATGTTTCAAACAAGCAATTCATGCTCTCTCCTGTCCTTCCACCTCACCCTAAAACAACTACAAACTGATCCTCTTCCAGGGATCCCTGCCTCAGTGAATCCATCTGGTTATGTAAACCAGGAACCTAGGCGTTATCCTTGACATTTCTCTTTCCCCAGTCCCCTTACGGAATACATTAACACGTCTCATCCAGTTTTTTCACTTCAGTATGTCTCAAATCCATCCACTCTATTCCCATGGCTTTTACTAAACCAAGTGTCACATCTTACAATAGCCTACTCATGTCCACTTTTATCCCTATTCCATTATTCAAGCCATGGACAGAATGATCTTGTTTTTTCAATTGGGGGGAATTGGGGTGGGGGGGAAACAGTATTGCGGAATTGGGGAAGGGGACCAGTCAAGTTGTTGTTCCTCAATCTTCGTTGTGGAGGGCGCCAGTCTCCATCTTGCTGCTCATTGGCAGCTTGGGAGCTCTAAGCTCAAGGTGCTGTGTTACAATCTTAGTTGCCGGTGGGTGTAGCACCCATCCCATGTGGGAGGCGAACCAGCAGGCTTGTTGTTACAAGAGNTGATTATCTGGATACAGATCGGACTAACAGGATTTCCTCACAGATAAGAGATGGGGAAGGAAAAGGAGTGAAGGGTGGCTCATTTGGTCTGAGCAGCTAAAAGGATGAAGCTCGCATTGACTGAAATGGGAAGGCTGTAGTTGGAGCAACTTTCATGATGGTTGTGGGGTAGGGAGATGAGGAGTTCAGTTTTGGACATGTTACATTTAGTGATGTTGACTAGACATTGAAATAGAATCATGGTATGTGTAGTCGAGGATAGCAACCAGGACTCTCATATGCTGCTAGTAGTAATGTAAATTGGAATAACCACTTTGGAGAACTAGTTAAGCAATTATCTATGAAGCCGAACATTTGTATGCCATATGCTTCAACAGTCCCACTCCTAGGTATGTACCAACGTATATATTTCTGCTCATGACTGTGATATTCATGGTAGCCCCAAACCAGAAGCAACCCAAATGCCCATCAATGCTAGACTCTATACCAAAATATGATATGATCATACAATGAAATACTATGCAGCACTGAAATGAATAAATTCCTGTCATGTGCAATAATGTGGATGAATCTCACAAGCATAATATTGAACAGAAGAACCCAGATACAAAGCAAGCCATACTGTATGATTTTGTTTGTATAAAGTTCAAAAACAGTCAAAACTAAGTCCATGTTGTTAGAAGTCAGAAGGCTGATTGGTTGTCTCTGAGAAAGAGGGGCAAAATAGTGATTTTGGAACATAGGAAGGACTTCTGGGAGGCTGGTAATGTTCTATTTATTGATTTGGGTGGTCCTTATGTGGTTGTATTCACCTTGCAGTAATTCATTAAGTGGCATACTTATGATTTATGCACTTTTTTCTATGTATTTTACAGTTAGTTACCACAGGAAATTATTAAAAAGAGGAAAAGAATTGGAGAAACCAAGTATTGGAAATTACAAAGGAATCTTGATTAAGCTGTTTATTTTTTAGAAGCTTGCATAATTTCCTCTTTACATATTTTTTTGTTTTAAAATCAGCTTCCTTAGGTATCATTTATATACAGTAAAATTCATCCTTAATTTAAATGCATTTTCAATTTATGGTATTTTCAATTTATGATGGGTTTATCGGGATGTAACTCCTTCATAAGTCAGGGAGCATTTGTACATGTAAGGTCCTTTACAAAAGTGTCTTAGTTCATTTGGGCTGCTATAATAAAAATACCATAATCTAGGTGGTTTATAAACAACGAATATTTACTTTTCATAGTCTGGAAGCTGGGAAGTTAAAGATCATGGCACCAGCAGATTTAGTGTCTGGTGAGGACTTGCTTCCTCATAGACAACACCTTTTTGCTGTTTTCACAAGGTGGAAGGGGCCAGAGGTGTCTTTGGAACCTCATTTATTAGGGCACTAATCCCGTACATGAGGGCTCTGCCCTCATGACCTAATCACCTCCTAAAATCCCCACCTCTAAATACCATCACATTGGGAATTAGTTTCAACATACGAATTTTGTGGGGGACACAAACAACATAGCAAAAAGTCTTCATATATTATCGCCTTAGAAGCATGCCAACCTAGTAGGGCCAGCCAGCATGTATGCACTTTACTGTCATCCACATGTCTGCAAAGTGACAATATTGTAGGAACCAAATACCTAATTGCTGAATGTATGAATGAATGAAGGAATTTTTGGGTAAAAGTTGGTTGTTTCAATGCAAAAGTTATGCAGAAGAGATTACTACAAACAGCCTTACAGTTGAGTGAATACCTTCAAATGCCTGTCTCCATAAACACATCTAGCAAGATTCCCAGTGTTCATCAGGTATTAGGAGGCAGGTTTACATTCAAGTATGACATGTTCAATTATTAAGTTACAGGGACTGAGGGCCAATCATCTCCATATCCCTTCTACTGGATGGTTCTACCCATGGAGACCAAATTAGACATCACAGGGTGTGTTGGCTGAACAAATAATGATTTCCATTGGAAAGAAATGGTATGTGATTTCTTCCTGACCTCTTAAAATCTTTTTAGGTATTGCAGGATGCTGTGCTAAAACAACAGTTGCTCCTTTGGATCGAGTAAAGGTTTTATTACAAGCTCACAATCATCATTATAAACATTTAGGTGAGTTAATAGATGCTAAAGCTACAAATGAGTGAAAACATTATCTGTCTTGGTTTCCAGTTGTAAATTATAGTAGAAAGGGGACACAAAAAGGAGTACAAGTTGGTGTCAGTTTTGCTAGGGGTATATCTCTTATGCATTTTAATATTTTCATTTGCAGTAGTGGTTATATATCATCATTTTGGGGTGCTTATATACTGTAAACCAAAATCTTTGAATCATTGAAGTATATACTCTTTGTTTATTGGGATTAACGTGTCACATCCTTGACAGACACACATTAACAGCTTGGCCTGATTTTTAAAAACAATCCAATCAGTGATGGAGATAAGGTTTATTTTAAACATTTATAGTTAAACATGCATCCTA